TTCTCCTCCCTACCTTCTTTTTCCCTCTGTCCTCTCTCTCTTCTCTACTTCCCCTTGCTCTCTCCCTCTCCTCTCCTCTCTTTCCACACCTTCCCTTTCTCCTGCTCTTTCCATCCCTTCTACTTCCCTCTCTCTCCTGTCTCCTTTCTCCCTCTTTTCCTCTGTTTATCTCTCTTCCATTCTTTATTTACGTGGTGTATTTCCACCTTTTAGCAAACCCCCTTTAATATCAATGGAATTGAAGTCAAATGCTTCTTTATTTAAGTGCTAGGAGTGTTATGTATGTATAAGCAGCCAACAGAAAGAAGAGATTTGTGAAATTATTTTATTCAGATTATGATTGAGATAAATCAATTATTGGTTAGTAGCAAATAAGCTTCTTAGTTCACAGGTATGTATTTAAGTGCTATTCTTCTCAATGATTTCATGAACTTCACAGTGATCCCAGTGCTGCTCCAACGGCTGTTATCACAGCTTTGGTAGTGATAGAAAGGCCTGCTGCCCCTAGGATGAAAAACGTAACAGAATTAGAAAGATGAAAAACAAATTATCAAATGTTCTACAAGTTTCTGAAAACAATCATGTGATGTCTTGGAGACTTAAAAGTTAGATCTTATGCAAATTGAGCTAGGGAAAATAAGCTACACACACATATATATATATATACAGAAGTAGTGTAAATGTAAACAGTACAATTACACATTAACCTTATTTATTGCCCGTTTAAGTACTTGTATGTGCACCCAGGAAATTATTGGTTGCTATAGATTTTCACACACACACAAACATACACAGTGTACATTAAATGCTTTATTTTCATTTCAAAGTTCATTGTTGTTGTTTTGTTGTTCAGCAGCTTCATTAGCTGCGTTTCTGTCACCGGACATAAAGACTATTCCTGGATCTTTCAGGGACTTTGCGGTGTCCCTGAAATCAGCAGGAGGTGCCCTTCTCAATCACCATCTCTACGGGACAATTTAGGTCTGAATGGACCGTCCAAGTGGCAGAAATATTGACTGTGATCTCGGAGCACCAAGATCACATGTCATGCCATCGCGACATCAGCATCTTTCTCCCGAATTCAATTCAATTTTAATTAGTATCTGTCCTTATATGAAGTGATATTAGTATTTATGTACTAGACCAGAGGAAAAGAAAAATGTTTGTTATTTCTCTTGTCATCTAGACCAGTGGCTCTCATGCCCCACAGGGGATCAATTTGATTTTTAATGGGGGGGGGGGGCATTTGGACCTTGTTTAAATCAAGTTAATGGCCTGTTAGGTTTCCTCTGTGTGAGTAGAGTTCACTTTTTGAGTAAAGTGAGAATTATAGGGGGTGGGGGGCAATCAGGATTTTAAAGATGCTTAGGGGAGGCATGGCCCACAAAACCAGTTGGGAACCACTGATCTAGACCATTGTCAGGGGATCAACATTGCAGGGAAGTTGTACATTGTTTAATATTGGATGAACATCATGGTCTACAGCAGGATTTCTCAACCCTAGCAACCATACGATGTGTGGACTTCAACTCCCAGAATCCCCTAGCCAGCATGGTAATTGAACTCCACACATCATAGCAGAAACACTGCTGTATTGGCTGAGGGATTCTGGGAACTGAAGTCCATACATCTTAAAAGGTGCCATATTTGGGAACCACTGGTCTAGAAGATGGAGGGGCATTGCATGTCATGTAGAGGCTACAAGACCCAAATAGCATCTGAGTTTCATCTGTAGGCTGAATCCCAGTTGAACAGTGGGGGAGGATAAGCTGACATTTTGGAGGAATTTTTCACAGCCTCATTCAGGAAAACAAGGACCTTTGAACCATTGTCCAGAGTAGATGCAAGTAGGGACTATATCTCAGGTACTCTCAGAAAATGGCTGCCCTGATGGGCCTGATTCTCTGTCTTTCTCTCTCTTTCCATCACTCACACAGAGAAATATACTTACAAAAGGTGAATTGGAGAGGTTGCTTTCTGTCACTAGTCCCTATGATGTTTGCCATGTTCCCTCTTTGGGAAGTGTGCTATTCTCGGATTATAGCCGCCTACAGTTTTTAATTACCCAAAGATGCTCCAGAGAAAGGCACCAGAGAGGAGTTCATTTGGTCACCTCAGCTCTTCCAGATGTTCTCATGAATCTTAGAGCAGCCTTTTCTAGCATGACGCTTGTTTGTTTATCTATTTTCATCCCGCCTTTATCATTGTTTATAAATAACTCAAGGTGGCAATACTTCTTCCTCCTAGTTTTCTCAGAACAACTGCCCTGTGAGGTGATTTGGGCTGAGGGATAGTGACTGGTCCAAAAGTCACCCAGCCAACTTTCATGCCTAAGGTGGGACTAGAACTCACTGTCTCCTGGTTTCTAGCCTGGTGCCTTGATCACTCAACCCAACTAGCTTCTTCCAGAAATGGAAGAACAAAATGCTCCTGAGAGGAACGGTAAGAAAAGAAGAGAAAAACAGAGGTCCACTTGTGCAGTTTCCTTGATCAGGAAGTTCTTCAGGCAGTTACTCATGTCCTGATCACCTTCCTGTTATGCAACAGGAAAGCTGATATAAGAGCAACATTTCCGACTGGTTCCTGCAACCCAATTGAATGAATTGTTTCTTATATCCAGCCACCCATGGAGCAACGCCCATGAAAGTCTTAAGAGATTCTTGAATAACAATGATCACATCACCATGCCACACCACTTCTGGACACAGGCAGGTCTCAATCTTCTTCTCCTCCTCCTCCTCCCTCTCCCTCTCCCGCTTCTTCTCTCTCTCTCTATAAAAATGGCTGTGTGTGTGTGTGTGTGTGTATGTGTGTGTGTTCCAGCATAACTCTGGAACACCTTCAGCAATTTTAACCAAACCTGGTACACAGATGACTTACCCTCTGGAGGAAAAATACTAGACACCTCTAATACCCTTCAGTGTGTGTGTTCTGTTAAGATACAGCCTGTTGTGCCTTAACATGGCTTCTACTGTATTGCTGTAAAATGACTTGTACTGTGCAACGCAATGGGGTTGCCATGGTAACAGCTTCACAGTACTTCACAAGGGGGCTCCCTCTGGTAAGGGGGAAAATCCAACATTAGAAATTACATTTGGTCCAGACCAGTGGTGGGTTTCCGGCATTTAGTAATCTCAGCTGGAAGCGAAGGTTTGTAAAAGTCTGCTGGCCAGGTACATGAACTGAGATCAGGGTGATAGAATGCAAAACCAGGATAAGACACTGGGTGGAGGTGCCTTCTGCAAAAACATTTGTGGGTTTTCCACTTGCTTAGAAATGTGTAAAGGACCAGATGTGAATTTTCTAGTGCAACTGCCCCATTTGAAATTCCTTGTTGAAATTAACTACGTCTCTAAGCTTGCTCGTATATGCATTCACATGGGAACACCAATTTATGTGTCCTTGTGTGTCTGACCAAGACCAAAATGTTGGAGGAGACCCATAATAAAATTTGGGAGATTCTTAATCTGTGTCCTGAATGAATAGAGGAATGGACCTGGACCTCATCCCTCAGGTGGTAGAGAAAGTAGAAGAATGCTGGGGGGTTTCTGACAAGCCCCACCTGAAAAGGAAGTCACTAGGATGTGCTTATTCAACCATAGTCTCAAGTGGAGTTACGTTTGTTCCAGAAGGAGACTCATGGTCTGACCAAGAAGGTGAAGTGGCAAGGATGCCATCCAAGTTCCACCTTCTTGCCTTTTCTAAACATAACCTTGCAGGTACACCTGGGTAGTTTTGTGGCAAATAATTTCTTTACCATCTGCAGCACAAAGGGAAAGAAGAAGATGGAAACGTATGTGAGAACAACATTTCCCAACTGGTGCGATTTACATATTTTCACGTGATGCTGCAATGCAGGTACCTCATGGTGGCATTTGTAGGATGATCTCACAGCATGTGGATGGTCCCTTTTGTGCCATTGTGGTTTACTGCAGATGTTGCTACCTCTCAACTGCGCTCCCAGTTCTGAGGCTGGTGGCTCAATCATTTAAACATGTAAATAGATTATTTAATTAGATGATAAACACATACATAAATACATCTTTACTACTTTTTCTTCCGTAGTGTATCAAAATGAATAAAATTAAATAATAATAAATATATTGCCCCAGCCTTTTTCTACTTTTTCTTCAATAGTGTATCAGAACGGATAAATAAATGCTTGGTCATTCTAAAATCTATTGTTTTTGATTAAAAGGAAATGAACTGATATCGACAGTGGTTTTTTTTTTTAATGTCTCATGTACAGAAGCACCTACAAAAAAAAACACACACAATAAAGTTCTCTCCCTTTTGGTTTAAATCTTCTTGCTCTTTCGGGTGTAAGAGGCTGAGCCGCAGGAAATAGTCTGTGGGAGAAAAATGAAGAGAGGGGGCCTTTGAAATTAAAATGATTTTCAATTAGCCAATGTAAAGCTTCTGTAGGTATGACAAAATATATAATACCACAAGTATAACTCTTTAAAATTGCAGCAGGCAAGAACTAGGAGGAAAATGTATGTATCTTTGAATCAATGGCATTTCAAAAGGTGAGGCACTGAACTAGTTGATAAAATACAGGAATTTTATTTATTTAAGAATTTACTTCCACTCTTATTTCTGTTTCTTAATTTCAGTAACAAAGTTTCTCCAAGGCCCTTCTTTTTACATCAAACAAGCGTAGATGCTAAAAATCTTTGCTTTTGTTTCTTTCCCTTTTTAACAGAATAACAGAGTTGGAAGGGACCTTGGAAGGGACCTCTAGAAGACTAGAGGTCTTCTAGTCCAACCCCGTTTAAATTATTACCCATTCCTTGGGTAATGATTCTTGCAGGTTTCTGGTAAAGTCAACTTCCTTATTCTCTACACTCAAGTCAAAGAGAATTTGACTTGAGTGTAGAGTCTACACTCTAGTTATAATTATTAAAGTTTCTTTACCATGTGGAATGGGANGTCACATACGCGCTTTCGTCGACCGCGATTTTGTCGTCCGCGGTTTTGTGGTAGAACCGATTGCTCTCCCTGCCAGAAAATTTGTCCTTATTTGCAAGTGGAATCTTTCCTTGTTCAGTTTACATCCATTATTCCTTGTCTGGCCTTTGGGTTCTTTGGAAAATAGGTTGATCCCATCCTCTCTATGGCAGCCCACAAATATTGGAAAACTGCTATCATGTCTCCCCTGGTCTTTCTCTTCACTAGACTAGCCATGCCCAGTTCCTGCAACCGTTCTTCATATGTTTTAGCCTCCAGTCCCCTAATCATCCTTATTGCTCTTCTCTGCACTCTTTCTAAAGCCTCAACATCTTGTTTATAGTGTGGAAACCAAAACTGAATGATCATGATCACCAATGATTCTTTGACTTGTATTATGTATCTGTGACATCTAAGCCAGAGTTTCCCAACCATGGCAAACTATAAGACCTGGGGACTTCAATTCCCATAATTCCTAAGACAGCATGACTGGCTGGGGAATTCTGGGAGTTGAAGTCCACAGGTCTTAAAGTTGCCATGGTTGAGAAATCGTGATCTCAGCTTTAGCTTTACAATTTGTTCTTCCAATGAACAGCCTGGTCTGACTTCATTCTTCCTGCAGGTCCAAGAGAGTGACACCATTGTTCTCCAGCAAATTTCAGCCTAGTGTGTGTAAACTCTCAGCTTGTATATCATGCAGACTGAGAAAACTGGGTTCAATCAGATTAACAGAGTTGGAAGGGACCTTATAGGTCATCTAGTCCAACCCCCCGCTCAAGCAGGAGACCCTACACCATTTCTGACAAATGTCAGTCCAGTCTCTTCTTGAAAGTCTCAAATGATGAAGCTCCCACAACTTCTGAAGGCAACTTCTGTTCCATTGGTTGATTGTTCTCACTGTCAGAAAGTTCCTCTTTATTTCTAGGATTAATTGAGGGAATAGGGGTTCCATATTCACTAGGGCTGTGTCAGCGAACCATAGCCATTTGAATCAACTTCTTACCCTCTCTTCCTGGGGGAAAATAATTTTTTACTCTTCCTGTCTATTAAACAATGAACATTGACTTACCTCCACCATTTCATTGCCTACAATTTGTTGCTCGTGGATGAATTTGTCTGACTTGGCTATTAATTTTCCATCCGTGAGATTTACTGTGCACTGTAAAACAATGAAACCATTACTGAACATGGATCAAACGGCAAGAAACGTGTAGATGGCTAAAAGCAACTAGCTCCAATCCACCAGAAACTGTAAGGATAATGTTATGAAAAGATGAAAGTTTTTTGGGGGAAAAGAAAATAGTGCTGCAGTTACAACCTTGAGTTAATAAAATGCAGAGATGTTTTGCCATAGATTGCAGTAGCAAAGGTTTCCTGCAGCCATCCCAAAAGTGCTTTTTCCAAAAGGCAACTGGACTTTCTTGATTTTTTTCCTTTGAAATGTTTTGCTTCATATCCAAGAAGTTTCTTCAGTTCTAACTTGGATGAGAAATAAAATATTTTCAAAGAAAAAAAACAGAAACTCCAGATTTTGGAAAAAGCACATTTTGGACAACGGTGACCTGGCTGAACAAGAATCGCCATAGATGTTTCCTATAGTCTGTCCAGAAAATTATAAAAAAATAAAATAAGATGACCGGTTCCAAATTTGGAGTCTCCATAACTAGCCTTAAGATTTTCAAGGCAAAAAGACATCCATCCATCCATCCATCCATTAATCTTTTCATATTTTTGAACTGCCCATCTCTCTTTGAGGGGGACTATGCTCAGTGTACAATAAAATGTCAAGTAGTTGAGTATGACTCACCTTAACTTTTTTTCCATCCATGGTGGTCATTTCTGCTTCTTTTCCCAGCAGGAACGTGTTCGTAACAGATTTGTTGGGGTTTTTCGTGGTGATCACAAAAGTATTCCCGGTCTGATGGATTTCGGTTATGGGCTTGATGTCTTTGGCAATTTTAATGATATCATCTGATAGGGCTGAGAAAGATGGGAGAGAAGATGATAGAACCCCAAATTCCCCAGCCAGCGAACTCCACACATCTTAAAATTGCCAAGGTTGAGAAATATCTAGCTACAGGTACGGACCATTCCTTCCTCCTTGAGTCTGAGTAACTACTAAAGGTTCCCCTTGCACATATGTGCTAGTTGTTCCCAACTCTAGGGCTATCCTAAATAACTGTCTTGCTCCTCATTGTAGATTGCTTAACTTTCCAGTTGTCCTCTTAGTCAGAGGACACTATGCTCAAAATGGAATCAGGACTCCAGTAGAAGTCTCAGATTCTGTTTTAGAGATCCTGTTCATTTTGCAGGAAAAAAAGGCTGTAGCTTACCAATTGCTTTCAGAAAGTCTTCATACTTCTCTTGGGTGTAGACTTGCCAGGTACCATCAAATGCCATGTTGGCAACTCAGCTGGATGCTTCCTATTGGGAAAGGCAAGTGGGGCATTGCCTGACAATGGCTGCCTTTATAAAGGAGGGAATACTTTACTCTCCCCAAATCTGAGCTGTGCACTTTCGAGCCATCAATCATTAATCTTCCATTTGTACTTTGTGAGAATAACCTCTCGTTCATCAGGCCAGGAAAAGCCTTGGCTGATCCCATAGAAGAATGTTATTTGCTAAATTCCATGGCCAAGATCAGGGAATCATCCGAAAGAAAAAAAACCTCCTATTTCTACTTCTAAATTTTATATTTGAAATAGACATTAAAGGTAAAGGTTCCCTTTGCACATATGTGCTAGTCTAAGATGACCAGATTTTCAGATTGGTAAAGAGGGACACCTTTGACCGGGGGCAGGGGAGGGGGCTTGATAAAAAATTTTATACGGAGCAACAAAAATTTTCATACAACGCAAAAATAGTATTGTAATATTTTTTTTNTCTTTCCCTCTAATTACTTGCATTGGGATTATTCTTTATACTATTTATGCTGTTTGTATTTGTTCTCATGAATTGCACCATTAGGCTAAAATCAATTTCATTGTATTTATTTTGTACAATGACAATAAAGGCTATACTAAATCAGACATATGGCTGTCCAATCTCTTCTTAAAAGCCTCCAGTGATGGTGCACTCACAACTTCTGGAGGCAAGCTATTCCACTGATTAATTGTCAGGAAATTTCTTCTTGTTTCTAGGTTGGTTCTTTCCACTATTTTTTGTGTGTGCTGCACTCCTTTTACTTTTGAACACTATTTTTACCTATCTTAGAGGTTTGTCTTGGATTCATTAAAAGAAAAAAAAAGAGATCACCTGTATAGGTGGTGGTTACAATTTACAAGTAATGGTAGTTATTTTATAGCTCTGATAGTAAATCCCTTTAATAACTCCTGATGCCTATGTGAATACACTATGCAGTTTTTTTCCATGCCTGAGTGTAGTGAATAAGGAAGTTGACTTCGCTAGAAATCTGCAAAAACCATTACCCAAGCAAAAGGGAGGGGAACATTTCTAAATCCAGAACAATGAGATTATGTCTGCGTGTGACTCTGGCAGATACTTCCCTCTTTCACTAAAATGAAAGAAGGCAGAGATAGCATGGACTAGTAAGATTGTGTTATTATATGCAATGTCCATGCAGGTAATTTTAGCCTTCCTGATTTGGTCTGTTGGGGGAGGCGGGCTGACAGAGAGTATGTAGTCATTTTTTTCAATGGCCTTTGATTTTTTCCAACATACAGATTTAACAGAATTGGAAGAGACCTTGAACGTCATCTAGTCCAACCCCCCAAACATGCAGGGGACCCTACACCATTTTTGACAGGGGCCAGTCCAGTCTCTTCTTGAAAGCTTCCAGTGATGAAGCTCCCATAACTTTAGAAGGTAACTTCTGTTCCATTGATTGCTCCGTGACCCGTCAAAAGCGCGTTTCACAAAAGCGCGGTCGACGAAATCACGTATGTGACGTCATCACAACGCGACGAA